AATGTTTCCCCTGTGGTGGAGCAGTTGGACAAACTATAACATAAGTTATAAACAGCAAAGGCCGAGAGGAACTAACTTGCATTGCTCCACCGGTTTCATCCCTAAGTTCAGGCTGTATAAAGTTTTCCTTAATGATCTGGCTACTATCACTAGGAGACTACCTTGGCCAATAAGGTGCCAATCGATTGCAGCTTGTCAAAAAGTTTACCGTGTGGCACCTTGTCAAATGCCCCTGATAGATTGAAGCACACAACGATGACGATTTTACATGTCTCACGGCTACCAGGGATAAGGTTGGATAAATCGTAATGGCGAGTAAAGCAAGACCTATTTTGATAAAATCTGGTTCAGACTTTGTGATAAAGTTTTCTTCAGGCAGGTAATCAGAGATTCTACTATTAACCACTTTCCTCATGATTAAAGCGACGATTGGTGGTACTTTGATAGGTATGTAGTTAGTAGCACTCGTTTCGCCACCGGACTTGTAGCGAGGACCAGCGAAGCTAGTTTTCCACTTGCTGGGGTTATCTCCACACACCGTCGACAATGTGATACTTTTGTCACTGAGGTCCACTTTATGCATGAACTTGTGGTAACTGGAGTGGAACTAGTGTGGTTAAAAGTACTAGGGCTGAAACCTGCGAATGATTTGCTAGATGGTTCACTGATCTTGGGCATATCGTTGCAGTCTACTGGGCAATGAATGGGCTACATCTCTTGACGGCCACAAAGGTTTATTCAAAAAGGATGTCAATTTTTGTATTCTAGGACCACTTTTGAGACCAACGATCTCTTCATTTACTGTCTGTCGTGCCGGTAATCTTTTAGTAGATTTGTGAGCCTTAGGTTGAGCACAATGTCATGAAGTCTTTAGATAAGTAATACCGTGATGATAATTTCCTAAGTTTATTGCGGAATATTTTGGGGTTATATGGACCTCGGTCTTTACACACTTCAACTGTTTTCACAGAAGCAAAGAAGTCTAGATAGCTTAATATTTTACAGAAAAGTGAAAGTGTGCCTGTTAATGAGGCTACGGTAAATTGTTCAGTCCATGGGGACCACTTGAGGAGGTCGATGAGTATTTCCCATTCCATATTCTTGTAGCTTCGATGACGAATATTATTTAAAGAAGTGGCAAGCAGCAGATCATTCTGTGGTCAGTGTTAGGGAAGTCACCGGTAACGCGGGTGACGACAGGCATGACATCACAGCAAAAGACTAAGTCCAACGTGACATGTCCAGGCGTAGGTTCCTGGACCTATTGCCTCCACCCACGGTTATCTATGACAGCAAGGATTTTACCAAAGCATTCTTAGCCGCAGCTGGCCTTCCAGTCAACTTCAGGAAAGTCAATGTCGCATGCAATCAGTTCAAAGCCAACGACGAGGGCTCCAGCATGAGCAAATAATCCAGCTATAAGTTCATCGCTTTCCCTTGTTGAACGTATTGCTTCATACACATAACTTACTAGGATTCTGTGGCCAATACGTTTTACAATCGCCCACAGCGAGTCCGCTTGATCATTGAAAAGTACCATCCTCAATTCTATTTGAGGCGACAAGAATGAGCGCATGAATCAAACAGTCTTTACCAGGCCTGCAATCTAAACTAATGCGATAAATGGTGTAACCATCTGCAAACAGGTATGCATCTAGGACTGAGGTGGTAAACCATGATTCGGTAACTAATAACACTGTGAGTTTGGTTGATGAAGCAGCTGTTCTTGGGCCAGATATTTTCTTAAGCAACCAGCGTGAGTTAATAGGCGAAAGTTTAAAAAGGTTGTTATGACCTGTGAAGTAACTTACCGTATCACTTAAGCCCAGTAGATTAAACAGACTTCCTGTATCTATTTCGTCAGAGGATGCACTACTAATGTTTCGGACGTAGCGAGGTCCGGCAATGAAGTGATCTTTGATAAAAGCTGCATAAATAATGTTTCTGAGTGATGCATCTCTGCAGGCAGGAGGGAAACTGATGAAAATTGTTCATAGTGTAGTCCTGTGACTACCTTCAGGCTTAAGGAATATATTTAATGCGAAACAGGAAGAGAAGCAAAACGCGGGGTATGATGAGTTTACACAAATATTTAGTGCCTGTCAAGCACTAGAATCAGGAAATGACCATCAGCAACACGGATGCACGCCTCCATAAACATGGATTATCGCTGCATCCTAGTCAGACCCAGTAAATATGGTTCACACTCTGTCATAAGTTTCGTCGTAGAAAGAGCGAAATGTTCATACTAGGTTTGTGAGTGTGGTCGAAGAAGGCCAACCGATATCGATGCCTACTTGTTTGACGCTATAGGTTAACGAAGTAAATATATGTGCAAAGGAATGGTTGTTGTTATGTCGTATGCAGTTGTATGTTTCGAAACCCGACAACAATCCCACCTAAAAAAGGCTCTAGCGCCGATTATGTAAAGGTTGATTCTGACTTCCCTGAAGTAAGTTAAGGATACCGTATATGCACACCAGATTTAAACAAAGCATAAAGACGCATCCACAAACAAGGAAGCAGGCTCTTGATCAAATGCCGGAAGTGTTCCGATGTCCTGGCTAACTAATCAGTGCAGGAATACAGGCGAGCCCTAAGCGGGCTCCACAGCATCTCTACCTTAAGGGTTCTACGAAGCATCACCCCTATACTCCCTAGCCTTGAGAAGCGATGTTACCGTTTGGTCTTGATGCAAACCAGAAGATCAGACTCCATAGAAATCGTACAGAATAACTGAAAGATTGCTGGACACTCATATCACCCAGACTATAAGAGTAACCTCAAGCATTATTCGAGATTCTGCTTCACACAACAGGTAGCCTTTACAATATCTGGCGACACTCATGAGATAATATGGCAAATGATCACTGAATACAAATAATATCTGGAGTATAGTTGTACTCAGCACTTGAGACAGTGTGTGAATATCTAGTCGACCATTCGAACTCACTATCAAATGTGAGTACAAGTACTTAGGTGTCTGTTCAGGCCAATATCACACAGTCACAAGATATTAGTGGCTGGATGTTTCTACATATTTTGGGTTCACGGCAGGTCTCAAATAGGCGTGCTCAGTGTTCATAGCACTTGGTGACACAGAGATGAAAACTTCCTTAGGGAGAAAGGATCTTTATACCTGGGTTCTCTACGACCTTGAATCATTAGCTGACAGAGTTTCCTGAATGTCTATCAGCTTTAACCATAAGTCTGTCAGTGACCCAATACGACTTCATAACGATGGTCTTCACATATTTGGAACGCAATACAGTCATTTGTTGGGAATTCAGAGGTGGTCCAGTGAACCAGTCCATGAAGCAGAGTTCAAAATATGCTGTGAATGCCTGAAGGGATTCAACCCAGATCACCCTTAGATAGAAGACCGATCGGTATTTATAGCTCAAGTCTTATGCTTCTTGTTCTGTTGATGGCTGTGTAATAGAGGATGTTACAACCGTGGTCTATCCCAATGAACGTTTCTTTAACCTTTATTAGTCCTCCCATATCTCGCTAATTTCCAAAATAGTCTTCCACCCAGCTGATCATATTAGGAAGCTGGGAGTTTGTGACATAAGTGGGCCGCTTCTCTTGAGTTTTATAAACCCTCCATTGTTCCCCTTTACTAATTCCTGGGTCGCTAAACCACTGTACGCTGTATTGTGCAGGACTTTAAAGACTGAGGACAGGATAAGCGGTGTTCCTGTAAATCTTCCAATTGCAACTGTTTTGGGCGAATATCTTAGCCCGCGTAATTCGGTAGGAGTTATTTTATCGGTTGCACGGAATGCTCTCCACCCAAATCTCTCTACGTGTCAGCCGTCAGGCAAGACCAAGAGCAGTATATAGGACTATGCGTGTCATGATAAACGTAAAATTATGCATTAGCATGCCGTATTTAGCTCGCCTCCCGTGCAGGAAACAGTTTCAGGAACGAGTCAATTAACAACCTTTTGTTTTTAAGATAAAACCGATTCAAGATTGTACAGCTTCCAGTTTTGCAGGCGTAATGGATCTGATTGCTAATGTACCCGTTTACTTAAATTAACTCCACATTTCCAAGAAGGTTGTAGATGGGGTAAATATTCTTATTTTGTATGACTGAATAGGTCCTATTTACCGCCTTTTGCTATGTACACATGGACACCGTTTCTGTTTAACTGATGCTATATGACATGCCGAAATTTGTGTACAGCATTCCCTGACTATCTTTCGGAATAAAGCCACAATCATTATAATTAGCTTGCTTTACTTGTTCCTGAAAGCTGAATAAGTTATTCCTGGCGATTATTAGGTAGTCTTGTTGAAGTTGGATGGCCTCAAACGGTGCTTATCTCTACATATTCAGCGCGCTGTGTGATACTGGCAGTAATATCCCTCAGTAATAAATCCATAAATCAACAAATAAATGAGGTAGATATGAAATAACACAGGCTACAGGGTATTTTAGCCTCTCGAAACATATTCTGTATTCTGCCCAAAAGACCATGAGATATAAGTTCTGGCTTTGGCACACGCGCTTCCGTAGGCGCACATCAACCTGAAAATTCCGGTTCTGATGTCGATTTAGGAATTAATAAGCATCGCAACATTTTTCTTACAAATAATATATATAATTTAGCTGCAAACTGTATCCAGCAAAGAATTTCCTATCAAAGTGTTGTACCCACCTCAGTGTAAATACAGAACATAAAGCCTTGCTGACGATTTCTTAGCGTTGGAAAAATAACATTAACCGCAACCTGAAGTGAGTAGTCACCCTACTCATTGATTTTCCTAAGCTAGCGCTGTTGATGCTGTATGTTATAAGGCAACTTTCAGCCTATTTTATTCTCATATTTATGTGCCAGAGAATTAAAGGTTTTGTCAACAACCAATAAATAGCAGTAATAAGAGAAGTGACTCAGAAAATTGGTATTGAGTTATGAACACAACTTACTTTTTGTTTGTTTTTAATACTAGGCTCAGAGATACACAGTACGAATTTTTTATGTGACAGCGGGATGGATGTAGGTGATTTCGCTGCATGGTTCTTATTGTGGTACTATTGTTCATTTATTTTTTTTCAAACATAAAGTTGCAAGTAGTTTTTCAATATTCACGATATAATCGAGAATGTCACCAGTTCATGAATTCAGCAATTTCTGAGTGTCGTTATAATATTTCTTCGCAAGTCTTTAGGTTGTTGCTTTTGTGACAGTAGCATAGGGCAAACTAACTGTCTTGGGATAACTTATCTTGCCTTTATCTTAGCACTTCTGATGTGTTTTATAACATTGGTGGTTTTGTTAGTCTAATTAGTTAGATGTTTATCATCTGCAATTCGTGCTCTACGAGTAAACATATTTTCCGATTGTGACAGCAAGGCACGATGATAGGGTGGTGTTCACTCCCAACTAAATCTACCCTGTTGAAGTTTAACGCTTGAATTAAACCGATAGTAGTAGTGATTCACCAATTTTTTGCAGTGAAAGACGTTTATGGCTTTGTTTACCTTCATGCCACTTATCTGCTACCCGTTCGCACTTTCATCATATTATTCTCCTCATTGCCGTTTAAGATTATTTTTTTCCTTCTTATCAACCACTTATTTCACCCTTAAGCTTGTAAGTTAGGTTTGTTGACTCCTTAGGGATGACCAGTTTAAAAATATTTCTCGACGTACCTAAATCCGGCCTCCGGCATCGCCACGTAATTGATCAGGCTTCCGATCACCATATTCTTGCGTAATATTAAGTTTGTTTGAAGTTTACTTTTGTCTTACGTCATCGGACTCTGTTCATTTTCTACACAGGTGCATTACAAAACATATGCCAGTCGTAGCAGTCGGGATATTAGATTCAATCAACTGTTACGTACCAAGCCCCTGTCAACATGTTCTTCCTCCTCTCCCACCGCATTTTCAAAGTCAAGTATATCTGTTAGTCCCAGAAAAAGGGTAAACGTTGTATCTTTTGTTCCTACTGGTGAGGGACAAGAATTAATAACCAGGTCTCCTGAAAAGATTGTGTCAGAAAACCAAGATAACACCACTTCAGGTGCCACGCAAATAGCTGTTCCATCTCAGTCATATACACCCCATTCAGTTACTGAAGTGGTTGTCACTAATTCACAAACCGTGTCTTCTGCGGGATACAAGGAATACTCAAACCGTCCAGCAAATACCAGTACGGCAGATAACTCTCGTAATCGTCCACCTGGTTACACATTCAGTCGCAGTCCCATCCGTTGTACAAACCCTAAGTTTGACCAGAGTCAGCAAGATGTTGCTTTGGCTCCTGCTTCTACGCCGTCGTCACACGTTACCACTGTACATTGCATCTCGTCTTATCCGCAAATGAATATTATCAGCTACCGCAGTCAACCTGTATCATGTCCAGCAAAACCAGCAACTCATCCAAAGTTGCAAAGCATAGATAAGAGTCAAGTGACTCCTGCTGTAACTGTATCAAACAGTCAGTTAAAAACGTATAACTGCACTGATATTCCCAAAAGCAGCCGTGACCGCATTTTTCTGAACGCCTGTTCTGTTGCAACATCAGAAACTATGGATAGTTCAATTTTCAGTGTATCCAAATCTTCCTCACGGCCCCTTCTTACAGGCAAAAACAAGAGGGTAAGTGAGGTTTTGTTTTTGACTGTACTGTCAGATAGGATTGTGTTAGACTCCAGTTATGGTACTTACAGTTAAACTGTCATTGAGAATGGTTAATAATAACCGAAGTAGTGCGTATGGTTTTACATACCTTAGCTCTAACCACTGGCGCTATGTTTGATACTAGATACTAGATGTAGATAGTAGAAGAAATGCAGAAGCTCGGTATGGTGTTCACACCAGTTTCTCTATTTTATTGTAAGGGTCAGCGTCTCACATTTCGGCCACATCGCATGAGAAGGGCTAGGAAAACATTATCGAACAGTTGTAGCATCCTCATGCTTCCCACGTTCAACGGTTCTCATCAGAAACCAGCAATTATACCAATTGGTTTCATCAGAGTTAACGTAAAGAGTACACATGAAGTGGTGCTAGGATTGCATTAAATCTTAGTGGCAGCAAAGCAATTTCATTCTTGTAATGGTTGTATTAACTTGGCGTTGCTGTCAGCTAAATGCTAACAGATAATATGATCAGCTAGTGATTTTTTGGATAAGATTGGTAGTAATTTCACTATCAATGATTTGTTGACGTCATATTTCCGGATACTTATCATCATTATCAACACAGGACCAGGCACTACTGCGTAACGGATACTTAACTGTGTAGGCGGTTGGATCTCAGTGATAATATTCTTCACGTGCAAAAAATCAGGTCTTCAGTATTACCACTAGTTAACTGTTTGCTGATAGGTCATTTAAATTTACTCTTTCTCAGACTAACCAAGGTTTTGGGCTAAGATGATGGATATAGTCCCAGTTATCAGTCACTTTAACCTATCAAAGTTACACAATCTCGGTGGCTGTTCATTGGCTGCCATAAAGGGTATTATCAAGTGTTAGTTTGCTAATAGCTGTACAATAGTTGCAATATTTCCCTTCATGTCGCTTTTTATTTACTAAACTGATAGTTCAGAGTTATGCTGGAAATTCGTCAGCAAAATGGTAGATGCACAAAGTTAGTTCTACTTGTTGTTTCTATAGACATTAGTTTAAGGAGGAATACTTAGACGCTGGATAAAATTGTGTGTATTCCTATCCACCTCAATCTGTATGTGTAAGGGAATACCTGACGAAATTGCATGAGAACCATTGTGAACGTTGTCTCCTTCAGTTAGTTGACATTACATTTGATTCTAGCCCACTTTACCTCAGTTGGTTAGAAGACTACAAGTGGTCAGCAAGTATCGTGTATTCCTTACCTGAAGTTTGCAAGAGCATAACCCAAAAGCCACTTCAAAATTCAAAGCAAACACTAATGCGTACTTATCTTGTAAGGAATACAAACGGATAATGTAGAGTGATACACAATTCCCACTGTTATCCTGTTTATACAACATTTTGTACATATTTAATCAATTTACATGAAATACATAACTTGTGTATAATTACTTTTTTTCACTAGGCTGCCTATAATCCACGTTCTTGGCAAAAAGATATCGAAACAGAAGACAGTTCTCCCACCAAGCTGGTAAGTTTACTTCTCACCTATGTAGGTGACATGACAGCATGACAGAATCAAAGTAGAGCCTCGCACACGAGTGCATCTGCCCAGGTTACCTCACTTCACTGTAGTATGCAAAGAACTTGTGGGTAGAAAGAGACTGATATCAGAGTACGAACGAAGTGCACTCAACCACCTTGTGAACATCCGTGTGGTAGGCAATAAGCCGCACCTAGTGTAAGGGCTAGTGATACTAACAAGTCGCCCAAACCTCGGTAGGTGGAGTGAGGTTAGAGCTCGTGATCCACTGGTTGATAGTTTGCTCCCTAAACCACTGATATTAAAGTAGAAAGTGTTGTGTGAGAAAATAAACAACTTGAAAATAGCGGTTACTGCAAATATTCAAGCCTTAGAAGACGTCAAAAAGTAAATGCGTCTGCAGCACAGTGGCCGGTTTTTAATCGTCACCAAGAGTTCTTAAACGCCGACTCCTATCGTCCTGCGGACCCCAGCCAGGTGGTCTACACTTCGCCTTACAACTCAGACCAACAATCAGGGACTTCGTTCACTGGTGCTACGTCTTGGTCTGGCCACTCTGAACCCCCTTCCAACGTAATCCGCTTCCTGAGGTAGACGGTAGCTCGGCATGCTTACTTCATGTCCAAGCCGTTTCAGTCGACTAAGGTTTACAGCCTCATCAATCAACTTACCTGTCTTGCCTAGTACTCTTCGCCCAACTGATAGCTGCCACCTTGATGTGGTAATCCGGCTTGGATATCACAATGACCCAACGAGCTGTGCTGGTGGAAGGCTTGTTCCTTGAAGTCTTAATATGCCAAAAAGGTCTGTTGGGTAGTGGTAAGACTAAGAGCAGTTACCATTGTGATGGAGGTCTGAGAGCGAAGTCGTACTGCTGCTAGCTGCATGGAGTGTGACAACAGTGAGGCGTTTCCCTTGGATGATCAGCAGTGCAATGCTGATGCTGCCTTCTCAGTGGAAGGGGGGCGGTTAGAAAAGGTCGGCCTCACACTAACATGACCAACAATCTCCCGACGGTATGGTTTTTTTTTGTCTGTCCAACGTTAGAACAATCAGACCTCAAAGTAGCATACCATAGAAGGCTGTGACATGTCTAAAGCAGATGTCTCATGAGCTCTGTGGCTACACAAATCTTTTTGTCTTTCAGGTACCTCAAGAAGAAATAACCTTCCACAATGTGGGTAGCCGTGTAATGTTAATTGCCCATGCGCTTCCAGTAGTACACAAGACACAATCAAACATATATTATCCCCCTCAACGCTGTCTCCTTTTTTTGCCTTTGCCTCATGAAACTAGTATTAAACCCCTTATGTCTTACCCAACGTCTCACTTTGCAACCATTGTCAACGATCAAAGCCATCGAATTCTCATTCATAGTCTCTTAAAACCCCAATATCGATTTCATCTGGGTTTCAACATCCGAACTTTATGCCAAGTCAAACAGCAAGCATCGTTTGCCAGAACTCTTGAATCTGTGATTATGGATGTGCGATGTGTCTCTGAGACACGTATACAGGATCGTGTGTTACAATTCCCTTCTGATAGCCACTTGATTCTGGCCACTACTAACTAAGGAGAGACACTGTCTAATATGCCGTCCTCCGACATCAAACCAAAGATGGCCACGGATAAATCACATAGCTATAAGCCATCGTAGGAGGATTCCCACTCTTTCTGGAGTACTTGTTTGGAGTCCGATCATATGCTAGTACGGCCTCGTCTGTACCTTACTGGCTGCAGGAAACAAGGGATAGTGGAATGTGTCTATGGTCGGTTGGAAGGTGAAAACATCAAGTTTGAATGTAGAGAAGAAATAGCTAAGTATTTATCTGAACATGACAGTAATACTCGCCCTAAAACAATCTGGCGTGATATTAAGTCTGCTGTAGAAACAGCGGTAAAGACGATCTACACCATGAGGTTAGCAAAAATCATTGAGTCTCCGTGACATCATCCAAACTGATTGATGCGAGAAGACTGATTCCAGCTGGCCCTGACCACGATGAAGAGCGAAAGCCACTCAAACGTAAGTTGACCAAGAGTCTTCACGTCGATCCCGAGCACTGGTGGATGGGAAAAGCGAGAGAGATGGAGAAAGCGTTGGGTAACACTCGGCAACTATTTAGGTTCATTAGGGATACCTGCAAGATGATGGTGGTTGGAACGATTACTGAAAAGGATAGGACACTGATAATCTCCCAGTAACGTCGAGCAGAACACTTTAAAGCACAATCCAACTGCCCTTCAACAACGCATCGGTTCCCCAAGATCCAGTCTGAACCTGAATAGGACATAGAGGTCAGCCTCCAACTCTCCTTGAAGTTGAGAAAGCTGTATCAAACCTGAAACGATGGAAAGTAACGGGACCTGACAGTTTACCACCCGAAGTTTTCAAGGATGGAGGTAGGGAATTGCTGTTTAGAGTGACGGAGATACTAGGTAGTTTGTGGGAATCAGAGGTAGTAATGTCAGACTGGTGTACTTCCCTGATCATTCCAGTCTGTAAGCAGGGAGAGAAATCTTGTGACAACTGAAGGGGAATCGGTTTGACTAATATTGTATCCAAGATCCTAGGGTCTATAGTTATACGACGCCTACCTGGAGCTCGAGAAAACCAGGCAGCCTTCAGACGCGGTCAAGGGTCCACCGTCATTTTCACCCTCCGACAGGTTTTGGAACACAGGCGTGCCTACCAGCAGCCGACACTTACCATATTTCTAGACCTGAAGACGCCTTTTGACTCTGTAGATCATGAGGTGTTGTAGCAATGTCTCACTGGGGATGGAGTATCGTGCAAATGTATAATATCAATCAGAGCTATCTACTCGAACTCAGGGCTTATGCAGAGTTCTCAAGTGCGTTAACAACAACTAGTAGTGTCCATCAGGGTTGTCCACTATCACCGTTTGTAGTTAACTTCGTCATAGACTTACTAATGGACATAACTCTAAGTTCGTCTGACTTCACAGGGATTGATCTACTCCCTGGAGGTCATCTCTCTGACTTGGAGTATGCAGGCGATATTTTCCTGCTGGGTGAAGAGACGCTGACAAAATACAGGGTCTTTTGAACGCGTTGGGCAGAAATCTGAGTATGTTTGGCATGCGTCTCGCTGCCACCTGTCAAATGTAAGATGATGCTCCAGGACTAGTCTGCTGCAAGTACTTTTAGTTTAATGATAAGGAATGAAGTGGTAGAATGCACCAACCACTTCACTTACTTGGGGAGTCGAACGGACACAAGACTTCATATTACTGCGTCACGGTTTAAGTTGTCACACATCATCGGCATGCGGAGCAGCAAGATGAAAGGTAGAGCTACAGGAGGGGATGAGTGTAATCAGGTTGCGGAGAGTTATCAAAGAAGAAAAGGAAGTAAAGCAAATTACGAAACAAGATATAACCGTTTGGGTGGAGTTAATCTGTAGATGTATCTACTCTACTGAGATCTGTTCCAAACCATGTTACCTAGAGTCTGCAATCACCAATTTTTGTTATCACACGGATCCCATAGTATTGTGGTACTCGTCACCTTAGGGTGTTTAAGGTATTTGATTATTCATTTCTTATTCTTAGCTTCGTGTTTTTCGTATGTTGAGCTAAACAAGTAACTGCTCCTTTGGAATATTCAGCCACAGTAATAGCACCTTTAAACATTACACTGCATTATGTTAAATATTCTTATGTTGAGGTCAGTTCTTCATAAAGCCTTCTGTCTCTCGATATGAATTTTAAAATAATAGACCAAAGACACTACAAGACAGTAGTGGTTGTTGAAACTTAACTTTGCTTCAGACATTTTTGTTATAAGCACTATTTGCCTTTTCTAAAAAATTTATTACACTTTCTACCAAAATTTACGCTTCACAAAACCTCGACTTTTAGTTAGACTGAACAGTTTTGATTCTGATCCATGCAAATTCTTTATTTCAGCAGAGAATGAGTGAGCCATTCTTATGTCAGTTTTCGACTTCACCGAGTGATTCTCAGTTGGACACCAAGGAATCATCAGCGTTAACCAGTCAACAGAATCCGGAAACCTGTATGGATTACAAAAAATCTGGCTCTAATGAGCTCGATGATTTCGCATTTCATGACTGCGAAGAAGAAATAACGAAAAACTGTGGTACCCTACGCCCTACTTCATGTTCATCTAAGACATTAACGAAATGTCGCAGGAAATCAGATGAAGAAGATGAAGATGTGGAAGAAGATGACGTTAAACCTTGGTTCCGTCCCGCTTCTCGCGATAAGGTTTCCGCTGCATCTGGAGAGAAATTATCTGGCAATTCGAAGAAAATAAAAGTTAGCAAATCGGAAAAGTCTGTAAGTTTATGTTTTTTTTTCGTAAATAAAGCTATCTTGTTCATTGGATAGGAAAATACTAAATAGACATTCAAAAATATAACATCATCAAATGATCATACATGATTTTTAAGGCAGACTTTCTGGAAAAATAAGGTTAGTTATTTAACCTGCCTAAAGTTGAATCGACATCTCTGGTGCATTATTGATACGGGCAGATTGTCTAGCGGAATCGAAACTTATATCCACTCAGGAACCTTGTACACATTCGTGCAGTAGGCAACGAGCCACACATGTGAGGGCCATCGATAATAGTGGTAATACTTGACTGCCTAAACCTCGATTAGTGGAACGGGATCCGAACCGGAGACCCATTGATTAGAAGTCGTCTCCTTAAACCGATGGACCATATCTTCAAATCGTCTAAAACTAATGGTCATGCTAGTTCGTAGAATAACAATATCGGTACATAAAAAGTAATATCAATGATGTATCTTAGCCTTCTGCCAAAATTTTACTATACTGAATTTCAAAGCAACACACCTTTTAATTTCTTTCGTGTGTATGGAGTTCTTAAGCATTGATTGAATACAAATGGATAACATGTACCTGGATGTTGTATATTTCTCTACGACTGGTATGCATTTGGTTACAAGTGTATAACTATGCAGGACCTTTTTGTACTGTTTTTGCCTGTTAGTAGGTTAGCCATGGACTGAACCGGGTCAACTATATGGCTGTGAATGACTGTCGTTTGATGAACTGTTTAGCTTATTGTTCGATACTTACAATCTCTTGTTGCTATAATGGGTTGAATTGCTTGACCTCAGTTGGCGGATGGACTCCTATGCGGATGCCTGGATGCGACCTGATTACTCATTATGTTGTTAATCTACTTGGTGGCTAGCAGTGAAATTCAGGCTGTGCGTTTCATCCTACCTGGGATTCGTCAGTTGGATGTCCCTGCACCCGAGTGAGTGTCGTTCCCACTAGGACTTGAACTCAGTACTCGTCACTTCAAACGCCAAAGTGTTATCCTCTAGGACATTGGGGCGTGAGAGCCAGCTCTTGTGCAACGTCTATCAGTTGTTTATTGATACTTTTGATTTGTAGTTGCTATATTTAGTCGAGTTGCTCAACGTTACTTGACAGATGGGCTCTTTTGCAAACGCTTTGATACGGCCCGATTGCTCATTGCGTTGTAATCTGCATGGTGGTGAATTGGTTGTCATTGTGTTCACATTTATGTTGATCGATATGCATATCACCTTAATCTGTCAAAAGTATAAGACTATCTTCATGTTCTGTTTTCTTATTTGTTGGATTTCATTGTTGAATTAATCTTTTTTGAAAATTGACTGATCATCAAGTGTTTATATTTTTGTAAATATCTACAGTTGTATACTGTGCTGCACAAAGTAAAAGAGGCGTATGTTTGTCAAGAACAAGGTGAAACTCAGGACTTACTAGATGATGTAGAATATTTGGTTGATGGTTTGGCAGATCGTAATCAAGTCAACACTCGAGCACTCAGGTCAGTTCGACCATACCAATTTTTTATTTAGAATCAGTAAAATTTATAAAGCTTTTGTTATCCCCACTGTATTAGTAGTCAGTGAATTTTAGCCTCAGTGTTTGTTGTTTTCATGGTTCCTTTCAGCATTTTGCTGCATATTTCGCTTTAATCTTGCCATTCTAGACCTCTTAAAATGGTTTGCTTGTTTGTAAATATGCACTGAACAATGGCATTTGACTTTAAAGTGTGACTAATGAGTTTATTGACATAACGACAGATACATACGTACACTGGTTTTGTCAGCTTATTAACTCTGTGGAGTATGATTGTAGTCTCTAGAGTTTGTACACATTGGGCATTCGATTAAAGTTAGTAATTTAAGCATTTCACTGCTTAGCTAAAATCTGCTTTCATTATACAGGACTATGTCATCTTGTCCGGTATTTCTGTTGGTGTTGATAAACTAATACCCCTCAACTTTTGCATTGACTTTCCGTGCACCATTTAACGTGGGGCTATGGAAGCCCATTGGGAGATGACTTTCAACCAATGGTTTACAGTTTCGAACACCGCTCCATTTACAAAGGTTTGGGCGGCTATTTAGTATCATTTGCCTTCACACAATAGGTGTGACTCGTTGCCTATTGCACAGATGTGCACAATGTTGCTAAGTCTGTTTCAACTTTTTGACTTCACACCATTTAACTCAGGAATGGAGACAGTACGAAACTGCCTGGGTAAATGAACTTTGATTACCAGGTTACTGGAATACACCACTGACGGTGGTCATAGCGTATAGAAGTGGTAGTAGCTTATGCCAGTAAGTCGGTTGATTTCCAAATTATCTCACAAAATACCTATCAAACTATGCATACATCATATCCATCATTTCACTGTACACTGTCTTCAATTCATTGCAAAATGAATGTAAAACGTATTGTGACTGAATGTATCAATTAGCAACAAAATGTTTGAAAGCCCTTATGTAATTGAATGTAACCCAGCAGCCAAGTTCATTTGCATGCAGTAGGCAATAAGACATCTGTTTTGTGAAGGTGTGTGTGACTACAGAAACATTCGATGGTACTGGGCTGGAACCGGTGAACTACTGGTTGAAAGTTGATGGCCCAAACCAGTGAGCTACCACCTCACATTTGTATATACGACTGTACACGTAAAGCATTTTCAGATAAAAGTATCACTTCACCTAATTTCCCATTAGTTCCTCATCAGATTCTCTCAATCAGTGTATTTCAAGAAAAACTGCTTACTCAGCAGCTATTACGATCCTGTAGTGAATTGCAACACTATCTTTCTTCCTTTTATACTAACTTTTATGTTGCCTACAGCTTTTCTGCACTTTATTTCCAAATCCATAATCTAGTTCACTAATTTATGCTCACGCATTTCTGAGACTAATGAACAATCAGTGTTTATTCTTTCACTTCTAACCTCGACAAATCCAAAAAGTTCAGTATCAGCTGATGGTTCTAGTGTAAAAATTATAAACTTGCCTGTGAAATAATGATCGCCTATCGAAATTAATGACTGATCAGATCCACTGACAATTTTCAGTGGATTATTGGCTTTTTCGAGGAGGTTGTGCGGATTTAGAAATATTTCAAGTTGGTATTCATCGTAGACTGGCATCAGTTGGAGGAACAATGGAAACCTGGGAGCACCAGACAACGTTTTCGTCCTAATATGGGACTCCTCAACAGTGCACACCCACGACCCGGACCTTCAGGCTCCGTGGCCAACACGTTACCATTGAGCCACTGGGTCAGAATCCAGTGGTCCATATTTCCAACTTCTGTCAGTTCACGACATAGCGCAACCGCCGCCCAATGTCATCCCGGGTTTCCATTGTTCCTCCAACTGATGTCAGCCTACGATGAATACCAACTTGAAATATTGGCTTTTTGTTGAGTATTAAACACCGTCATTGTATGTCTTTTTGTCTGCTTTAAAGTCTAGTCTACATTTTGGGGAACTTTATACTCTGCGCTCACAGCATTGTGATTATCTTGATCCTCTTTGTCTGAGTTATATTTTGCCGTATCGAGGTTAACTGGTGTCCCCTACCAAATATGTACATCAGTTTGAAACCGGTGTACTTCCACTTTTGTGAGTCTTTGCATGATACCACTTGTGGTCATATGAAATCAAAAGAGAGCTGTCCTGTAGCTATAGGGGGGAGGAGCGAATAAAAGGATTTGGAAAACACATTTCCAACTGATTTATGGGTAGCACTGGTAGCATGCCATGAGCGGTTGAGTTTTGGTTAAGTTACAGGTTTCATATAGTTGTGAATCTGCATTTGTTGAAATAACCAGACACATTGACGTATGTGCAACTACCACCAACCAACTCTATACAATTATAACTATAACTAAAATATAATAGGGCTGATACAGTATTTGGCACTGGCTACTGATCTGTGCAAGACTTCTCAGAACGTCGATCCAGCAGAGCTCGATAACTAACGAAGAACATGATAGATCGGAGCCAATAATCTACTTCATTTTCTTATCTCCTTTTTATGTAGTGGTAGAGAAATGTAGCTCATTGGCTAAGGTGCTCGGCTTTCGAAATATATCGGTCATGGGTCAAGGTTCTGGTCCACCTACTTCGCTTACATGTTTATTTCCGATGACACTACCTTTACCATCGTACGGTTTAAAGATTTTATGCTTCCAGAGTCTTCACCTCCTGATAATATTGACATACAGAGCTGTAGCTCATTGATCTAGGCACTTGACTTTCAGCCACTAAACCATGGCTCAAACCCCGCCAAACGTACTGAAATCGGGTAGTATCACTGGCTCTCCCATAGTGGGTGTTGTTCATTGCCTAGTCCACGAACCTGTGCACATGGATGCTATAGTATCATTATATTTGAACTGTATCTTTTCTTGGTTTTAAGATAGCTATGCTTACCATTACCATTACCACCGAATATGCATTTTTGATGCCGAAAAGTTAACTTTCAGTGTTCCCTTCGCAGTTCGATTTTATCAAACTGAACTTAATCGTTGTTTTTTAACGCGGGTACATTTTGTTAATTACACTTCGAACGACGCTGTTGTCATCGTCATGCTTATCTGAAGTTCACCGAATTTCTGCTTCATCGTGATCGTGTGTTATGTACAACATGATCACTAGGTGATAAATACGTAACAAAGCAGACGAATATGCTGTGAAGATCCTTGTCCCATTTGGTCAATGCATTCAGATGATCAGTATACCAATGGTTTTGTAGAGCTTTTTGGCCTAGCATTGTTTCGAAGGTCACATTTCTTGGAATTCCTTTATACTTTACACGTCGGTATTTTCCAACTGATTAGGAATTTATAGTTGAAAGAGATTTGAATTGTCATAATCACACTTTCAAGCAACAGTCTTCCTATGACCTTTCAGAAAAACGCACCGCATTCTAATAACCTCTGTCCTGTAATCACATATGAAAGTGACAGTTATCAGTGTTAAACTGTATTGTGTCATTCCGCATAACTTGTTCCCGTATTGTGCTCAATGGAACTGCATTTTTGTAGCCTCTTAAAAATGTAAATCAATGTTGTATTTTCATTTTTATTCTCTCTCTAAAAAAAAAATACAGTGTGCTAACTTTAGCCAACAAGTGTCTAGCTGCCTCCTTCCGATATACGCTCATTGCTCATGGTCTGTTGAAGCGAATTTGTGCAAAGTTACACGATGCCTACAAGGATTATGTGAGTCTAGTTGTATAATTCCTCCATCATTATAAGTTGCATGCTCTTCTTGGTTTTGGTATCCCATTATGGTAACTATCAATTGTTAGTTCAACAAAAACCATATGTATTCACCACGTGTGTGTGTGTGTGTATGTGTGAAGTAGACATTAAAGTCCCTATGGCGTTTTTGATTTGAATATCTGTAAAACTCCAGAAGAGAAAAAACGATAATACATGGAATTTTCATTTCGCCAAGCTGGGATGGATCACTGATAAAGCCCAGTGATAATATGAACAACACCTGGAGATTCTCCCAGTGGGATTTGCTCTATATACTTTCATTGGAATGAGTCTATAAATAGTTGGGCTTATATGCTTACCAGGCATTTCTTTGCACACTACTACTCTTGAGTGAGCGGTGTGCGTCATAGTATTCTGATAAGAATTTGCATATTATATGGAAGGTGTTTTTCTTTACTATCAGCAGTCAGAAAAGAGCTGCCTGATGACTTGCCATCGTACATCTTCAGGATATTTCATGTCGTGTATTACTGCTTGTCACAACGATGCACGTATTACTATCATGGAACTGAATTCTCTCTGGTTAAATCTATTCGTTATCAATGGTCATTTATTTAGGTTTGAAAACGTATAAACTACTTTAATCGCATTGATATTCAGTGTAAAATGCCTTTGAATTTGAAAGTAGTTTTTACATTGTGGAGAGAGAACCATTGTGTATCTGGAGGCACCGGACACGGACACCTGTCTCATTCTAGTTCACACTCACAAGGAATCGTGTTCGGGACCACCAGGTGAATGCGTTACTATTCATCTACTAGGTCGGAAACCAATGTTTCGATTTTCCAAACTCCTGTCGATTCAGCGTAACCAACAACCAATGTGGTTGGCGGGTATCCACCTCACTCACGACTTGGTTGACTCCATAGGTCACGACTTCTCGTCGAAAATTCGCAAATTAGAGTTATTTAACACCAAGGAAAAATCCAAATAATTTAGTCTCTTTTCGTGTTTATTTATGTATAAAATCTAGTGAACTTTTTATACTTTCAGACATTGGCGCTTACTTCTGCAGGATTATTGTTTGTTTTATCGCGGGATCGTGATCCAAATATATTAGATGTTGATTCTCTGGCCATTGTACTCAAATTATTTTCTGCACCAGACAGTAAGTCTTGATACCACGGTGTGAAATGATAATTATTATCGCATATAGTGTAGTATAGTATATCATGATTATTTTCTGACAACTTTTTTCAGCTGTTTAAATTTTTACCGATTCATTGTCTCGTTAGTTGTGTGTTGTGCACTGTACTAATAAGCTGTCTAGGCGGGGTCATAAGTGATCAGTATTCGAAAACGCTTGGTGGAATGACTCAATGCATAGATGTACACACATCCTCAGAATTTTTAACCATCTTTTACTTGTGTTGTGCCCTATCATGTTATATACTGTGGTGTACTTTAAAATCATTCTTCCTCTGTCCACTTCTAATTTGACACTAGTCGGTGAAATCTCTTACTGTTGGTCTGAGTCCTGTGGAGAGACGCTAGATCACCTGGCTGACTGGGGTCCCCGAGTTAATAGAAACCAGTAGTTGAGGACTGACTGGCTGAAAATCGGTCACAATAGCGCAGATGTATTCCCACTGACGATTGTTTTCAAATTGTTTATTCTCTCACAGAACTACTTTAATTTCAGTCATTTTCTGTCCACCTGTTCTTTGTTTGCTACCGTGGGGCGTGACAATTTGAAGTGATGTACTTATGTGCGAGGTTCTACGTTGGTTTTGTCAGTTAGTCGATCAGTGGCTTTTTATTTGCATTTTGGTTAGAAGTGTGGCACTTCTGTGCAAGGTTGTACATCGAGCCGTCTGTCTCCAGCGAAACGATTCTTTATTTATGTTTATTTCACTGAGATTACCCAGACTTGATGTCTATCTCAGCCATCTTCAGTTGTGATTACGATGAGGAATCAAATATTCACGAACTTATTAACTGGTAAAAGAATGAAATAATAACGACATTGGCGAATATAACCATTTTAGTGTTCGATGGTTAAATTCAATCGGTAGTAAGCTCAGCTTGACCTACATTTCTTACTTATGCTAGAAAACCGGCTTTCCTCAGCGATTCAAACCTGCATCACTCAGTGCTGAAGTCAGCGAATTTACTGCTAGGATGTTGAAGTCACGACTGACTCATTTTGGAATTGAAACAGGTAGACGAATTGGTCACCAGTAAGTTACTAATGTACTCCTCAGCTTTAATCCAAGTTTTTCGATCGAACATATAGCCATTACTGTGTTAATACTCCAATTACTAGTAATTAGCATTTACCTATAAAAATGGCTATAGCGTTTCGATAATAGATATTGTAAAAATGTAGGCATTGTGTTGCCTTGGAGAAAAATCAACTTAAGTGGGAATTGTTACTAGTCAATTAACCTTCTTAGTTTTATTAGCGTCTATATCTGTATCTCACCTTAAATTTACATTTGAAAACTATTCAGGTGTTCCTTTTGCTTCTTTAATCAGGCAGGAATTTATTTATTTTTTTCTGTAGCAAATTCAAACGGTACTGGAAGTGTTTTTGAAGCGAATAGGAATAAAGAGGCTGAACGTGTACGTATGCGAGTTCGTCAACTATTGGATGCATTACAACAGAATAACGCCAAGAGTTTAACATCGACTACATCAAATACTCTAGATGTAAGCAATAATTCTAACACAATTACATCATCTAATCAGTCCCTTTTCTCTGGAGGGAAACGATCACTTCTACCGTTTGGATCCAAACCTCCTATATGCGCGAGTTTGAATACTCGACATTTACAGATGACCCGTCAACTAACGGTAGGTTTTCAGTTTGATTATCGTGTATTGATTAAAAATCCTTTTTGGGTTACCCAATACAACCAAAAAAGCGAGTTAGCTGGGAAATCTCTCTTTTCGAGTGTTCCGAAATGCCCAGTACTATTCATCGCAAAACTTTAAAGGTCCTACAACATACATCCAGGTGAAATTCAGTATGTTTCAAGAACACAGTCTGTTGAGTTTGTTTCAATAACTCCTTTCAATAATTTGCGCTACATCTCTAAATACTTTCTTCAATGTTACAATTCTATTCATATTTACACATCCTATGGCGAAATGAATTACGTTGGAAGAGGGTTCAGGGTGGCTAAGTCAAGACCACTTCATGAAGTCTTTGACTGTTGGTCTGAACCGTGTTGGCAGATGTAGACTACCTGAATGGGGTTCCTGAGACGATAGGAATCAATGGTTGAGGGCTGACTCTTTGTGACATCGCTGAACATTGGTCAAGATGGTGCAGATGTACTCACTCCTCGACATCTTCTGAAGCTTGAATATTCACAGTGACGGTTATCTTCAAATTCTTTATTCTCTCACAAAACGTTTTCTACTTTGATTTCAGTCCTTTTCTATCCACCTGTTCATTGTATCCTAATGCAAAGCGTACGGACTTGAGCTGATGCACTTGTATGCGAGGTTCTACGTTGATTTTGTCTATCTGTCTGTCTGTAATTAGACTCTTACAGGTTTCAGAGTGCTTAAGCCAAAAGTCTCTGACATATTACGGCATTGTTAATCTTACTTGTAGACTGACAATGGTACAATGGTTAGCTAAGTGGCTTTTTAAAATTCCCCACAGTCATGTTCATCACCTTCTGTCATTATTTTCCATAAATCATTGTTTCAGTGATCAACAGATGGAATTTAAAAATCAATTTGTAATACATAAAATAATAATCGTGTTACTCTATGGGACCATCCATCATACAAGAAAAAAATTGTATATACCATATAGACATTCAGGCAGTAAAGTTTGCTCTGTATCAACTATATTTTCTACTGCCTACTTCATTCCCCACCGTAGAGCATATCGTCTTAATTGGATGCTTTTGTTTGTTTTTTTGTCTCAACCTACAATTTGCAGACGTCAGATCTTGTCATTGAATCAATCCTAAATTTTGGCACACGAAAAGCAGGAGATTGGTTCAAAGCAGAACTTCGCAATGGTGGTGGATTAGACAGAGTTGCAGATGCAGCCTCAGATGCGGTAGATTACTTAGCTGATTTGGATCCAGCAAATGCTTCACGCAGGTCAAAAACTATGTGGCGTTCTTCTACAAGAATCGACAATTTCGCTTTGGATAGGCTGAAGCGGGTCTGTCATTATACAAGGCTACTGGAAAATGTAAGTTTTCCTTTTTCTTTGGTTTCTCATATAAGCGACTGTAGTTGGAGAGAAGTTTTATTTTTCTTCGTCCTTGACTCGATCCCCTAACAATCATAGGCTCATCATTTACGAAAACCAAGTTCCGCGTGAAGTGAAGTTGTTGAGTCCATTGAACACTTCATTTACCTGTGAAGCTGGATCAGCTCTGGTGGGTCAGTGGCCGATCAAATCTCCGTACGGATACAAAAAACTCGGTTGGCTTTTACCAACTTACGTCATCTGTGGGGCCGCCACGATATCCGATTGTCTATTAAGAGTCGATTGTACTGTACTGCAGTTCGCTCTCATCTACACTATCTCAGTGACACATGACTATTAAAGGTAGAAGACACGTAAAGACTTCAGATGTTTGACCACTGTTGCTTTCGTAGCATAGACCATGATTCATGGTGTCACCACGTGAGTAACGCAGAAGTCAGAGGGAGAGGTAGGACAGTTGACTCGGCTAAAAACCTTCAACGACTGAGAATGCTGGGATATGTTATGTATGCCTTGCCACACAATACTGGCCGAAGTAGATTCAGGCTGGAAAAAAGCTCGGGACGGTCAGACTTAAACCTGACACCAATACATGAAGTCCTTAACTGTTGGTTTCAGCCGTGTAGAGAGATGCAGACTAATCGGTTGGTGTCCATGAGACAAAAGAAACGATCGGTAGGAGACTGATATGGCTCAGAACCGATGTCAGTGGTGCAGATGTATACACACATTAACGTCATCTTAACCGCCATACTAATCTCATCATCTTAGCATTCTTCCTTTCTTTCTTTTACTACTTTATGCTTCTTTTGACCGATTCCTCTTTTTTTTCTTCCTCTTCCATTTTATTGCCTTTTTACTTGATGTGCTGATATGAGCTGTGACAACTTGGATCATCACTCAGTAATGTCTGGTCGTATGTTGATTTTGATGACGCTGATGATGAAAGCCAGGTTTGTGGATTCATTTGTGTGTTGTAAACAGTTATCAGCCAGTAGTTGTTGCCAATCTTTTTGACGAACAAGGCTAAGGGTTTCAGGAACCCTGATTTTTCTTATTAACCGTAGGATGCGACGCTGCTATGCAGTTCAGCACAAATGCACCCTCCGACAACCAATTCGACACTTCAGCAGAAAAAGACTTGGGGGGAAATAGTTTTCAAAAATGAAAATATTTAATGTCATGCAGGCCCCAATCTGGAAGTTTACATATCTGCAAGTGGCTTGAACTGATGCCACGTTCTAGTCTGACCGACTGTACCATTTATCCAATCTAAATCTACTTTAGCTAACATTACTTGCCGGGGTAGATGGTGACTTGGCTTGCGTAGTACATCCCAGCCATGTATGTGAGTTGGTGAAGGGTTTCAAACTTATCGTCTGACTTACTTCTCTTATCTCTGAATTCCATGTTACTTATGTACGAAGAAAACATCCTTGATTTGAAGAGTTTAACGTCAACCAGTAGTTTATATGATATAATCACAAAACCGCTAAGGTAGACGAAATGAATATCATATTATGGAAACGGAATTCGATAAGCAGTGCATGAAAAGCGAATGAAGGTGTACAAAAAGGGGAAATAAATTACTTCCCTCTTTTTTTTACGCAGCTATAAACTACAAGTGTTAATTAATTGTTGAACATACACCCTAGTTTCTGACTACACTGTCTCCTGAAAATACACCAACAAATGAACTTGGCTACCTAACTGTATTGTCAAAAGAATTTTTCTGAAGAGAGAAATCATTGTTACAGTGAATTTATTACTGTATTCATCTAGAATAGTGTTCAGCCTGTTGTCAAAGTAGTGATTGCGCGCATTTATTTTTCTGTTTTACACTCATTATGTATAACACTTTTATGTAAATTTCATATTGTTCTTTACTATATTCGTCGATCACTTGTCTTGGTATCATTATGAATCTTCTCCTTTTCTTATCCGTTATTTTATCTACTCAGTCATTGTATTCTTTTCTTTCTGTCTACTATTATGGTTAGTGAGAAATATTATTGCTTGCTTTTGGGACACTGCCTTCTTCAATATTTCCAATAGGTCATCATCCATATGTTGTAGAGTGGGAAAATATCTTTTAGATTCCTCAAAGCCTGAAATTCCCTGAAAAGCTTTCACAACCAATCATCGTATGCTGAACATTCACAAACAGCCACGTGATCATATGTGTCAGTTTCAGATTGGTGAAAGAGCTTTCTAGAAGAGGTTAAAGCATATCAAAGCCATCAAAAATATATGTATACCGTTACTTTTTATATATGTTCGAGCTGACAGTACACTTCTTATCGTTTCCGCCTCTTTCTGTTTTGGAGGAACGGAGCGACCCTCAGGGGTGAAGCCTAAGGTCTTTGTTCAAAAGTTCACTCAACTAGTGTATATATATTACTGTCATCATTATCAATATTAGTTTGTGAAAATACTGACGTGGTTTGGACACGTATTGCGCATGCTGATCCACTGATTTCCCCGATGTTTCATGCTAGGGGAGCCTAGATTAGGTTGGAAGACGATCCAGAGTGGCCAGACCAAGACGTGGAACTAGTCGATGAAGTCTCTGACTACTGGAATCCCCGAGACGGTAGGAATCAGTGGTTGGGGACTTTCAGTGATGGCTGGAAATTGGTCATAATAGTGCAAATTTATTCACTCCTTGACATCTAAAGCTTGAATATTCCCACTAAGCGTTATCTTCAAATTGTTTTTTCTCTCATATAACTTTTTGTACCTTAACATCAGTCCTTCTCTATCCAACTGCTTTTTGTATGCTACTAAGAAGCATGGCAATTTGAAGCGATACACTTGTGTACGAGGTTCTACGTTGATTCTGTTGATCTATCTAACATTAGTAGATTTACCAGTAATAATAAATGACCAATCTTTTCGTGGAATACACAGAAATTTTAAGCTGATCACCTTTATTTCAAGTTTATGCACTTATTCTCCGAAGTCTATTAATGTTACCTGATTATACCTAAACTTCACTTAATGGGACTTGTTTCAAAATCCCTGACCTATTTAGTTAAAATCTCCTAGATCCACTGTTTGCAACTGGTGTCTACATACACCCAATCCTATCATTTCATACTCATAACGAAAAAGTCTTTCCTTTACATTACGCTGAAATATGATTCCTCTGATACAGTCCAATTATGATAATCTGTTCCACAACGTGCATAATAGTTTCTTTCTCATTCTATACATTTGGAATAATGAGTGAGTGATTGAGTTATTTATATCTTTATTTAGGCTGATCAAGGTGCTTTTGATGAATTAACGTATGTTTTCCGATGATGACTCACCAATATCAACATAGGACGAGGCATTACTGAGTAACGGTCCGAGTTGCCACACCTCGTATCAGTACATCAAGTAAAAAGGCAGTGAAGTGGAAGATGAAGAGAAGAAAACTCAGTCAAAAGAAATATAAAGTATTCAAAGAGAGAGAGAGAGAGAGAGAAAGGAAGAATGAGAAAATGGTGAGATTCGGTGTAGCATCGTTAAGATGAGGATGATGTGTTGCGATACATCGGCGCCACTGACATCGGTTCTCAGCCATGCCATCACCTACAGTCTCCAACCACTGGTTCCTCTTGTCCTACCGACCCCAACCACCCAGTCTGCGTCGCCCTACATGGCTCAAACCAACAGTCAGAGACTTCATGCATTGGTGCCATATTTTAGTCTGGCCGCCTCGAGTCTTTTTCCAGTGGGAACCTACTTTGGCCAACATTGTGTGACGAGGCGGACAGCGGCTAGGCATACGAAAGACATATTGGAGCCAACCATCTCAGTCGACGAAGATTCACAACAACCGTGTCAGCTGGTTTACCTCTCCATAAAACTATACACCTGACTTCTGTATTACTCATGTGGTGTGGTGACACCACGGAATACGGCCTATACTAAGAAGGCAACAGTGGTCAAACACCTCAAGCCTTCTCATGTCTTCCACCTTGAATGGTCATGTTTCACAGCCATAGAATAGAACAGGGTGGACTGCTATCCAGCTGCAGTACACGCGACCCTTAATAAAGAAACGGATATCACGGCGACGCCATAGATGGCGTAAGTTGACGAAAGCCAGCCAATCGAGCCTTTTGTATTCGTGCAGAGATTTCATCGGCCAGTGAGCCAGCCACCAGGGTAGGATTGATCCTACTTCCCAGGTAAGTGAAATGGTCGATACACCCAATCACTACACTCTCTATTGTTAGCCAATCCACCATTGAAGACCAGTCATGGAGCAACAATTCGCATTTAGGTGATGAGAACTGCATCCCAAACATTCTCAAATTCCCACTCAAATTGTTCAGAAGACCCTGCATCTTGTCAGCGTCTTCACCTAATAAGGACTATATCATCTGCATATTCTAGGTCTAACGAAAATTCTCCTATGATTATGTCAATGTCTGTGTAATCAGGTGACGAGATGGAGACCTGTATGAGAATATCTATGATAAAATTGAATAAGAATGGAGAGAGTGGGCACCCTCGGCAATCACCACTCGATAAGCATAGCTCTTTGGATATCTCACCATAGACTCTAACTTGCCCTCAAGTGTTCGAGTAGAGAGCCTTCCACAGGATGATGTGACTTACTCAGCACGCCTTTCAGTGACAGACATTGCCATAAGACTTCTCGATCACCGGAGTCGCATGCTGTCTTCAGGTCAAGAGTTACAGCTAGTGTCGGACGTTGATAAGCGTGTCTGTGTTCCAAAACCTGGCTCAGTGTGAATATTTGGTCGATACACCCGCAGCCAGGTCTAAAGCCTGCCTCCCTGGTTTTCTCGGGCTTGTTGTTCTTAAGCTCCACTCAGGCGTCGAAGAATTATAGAACCTAGGATCTTGGACACTATGTTCGTCAGTCTGATTCCACCATGGTTATCACAAGAGGACTTCTTGCCTTTCTTAAAGACTGGAATAATCAGTGACTTAGACCAGTCAGAGGGGTATCGTATTCGATTCCCATATAATGGTTAACACTTCCGTTAACCTGACTAAGAGCACCTTACCACCATCCTTGTATACCTCTGGAGTTAGTCCGTCTGGTCCTGCTGCCCTCCCTCGTTCCAGGTTACCTACTGCTTTCGCGACTTCTGCTAGTGTTCCATTCAGGATTCAACTGGATAGTGGGCAACGTAATGGTGGCTGGAGGCCAGTTAAACTGTTCCTCAAAGTGTTCTGCCCATCGTTCCAGTCGTCCCCCCTGCGAGTGAATCGCAGATCCGTCCTTCTCCGCTATAGCCTCACTAACTGTTGTTGACCTTTCCCCCCCAGTTTCCTTAATAAGTCTTAATAACTGTCTACTGTCATACCAATCGCTGATGACTTAAGTTGGTCAGTCAGTCAGATATTATTATTTATAAACCCAATGCATAAGTTTTTTTTCTTTCTCTAATAACATTCTTTACATAGTTTTCTGCTTATATATCATTCATTAATGAATTCTTTTTATGTTCAGATGACCTATATGAACTCGGACAATCAAACCTATTTAGTGCACTATCGTGATGGCATACTTGTTAATCGTTTATTAACTTGTCTACGTGTATGTATGTCTCACTTACCAATATCTGGGTCAACAAATCAACTAAATTGTAATCCTGTTGATGTAAAAACTACTGTAAATAGTAGTGTAGGCAATATTTCATCGAATAATAATAAAACTCAATACGATAGCCAATCCATCTTAACTGATTGCATTTTGTGCACATTTCGATTTCTAGTAAATGTTTCACATAATGGTAAGTCAATTGTGTGTGTGTGTGTGTGTGTGTGTGTGTGATGTGCTTCATATCCTTTCTTGGTGTTATCATAGCTAGCTAAATGGTTTTCTCTGTGACAACACAATTAATCACTACTGACTATTATTAATATTTACTCCTCAAAAATAACGAATTGAAGAGTCAATGCAACGGACGAGAACACATTATGGCTGAGATAGATGAATGTTTTTAACATATTGTAACATGAAACGATCCAAGCTCCCAGGCTTCATATATCAACCCATTATCATGGTTGACGATAGCAAAAAGGAATGCACAGAAATGAAAGTAATCTGATCAGAAGTCGTAAAGAGCCATATGGTGATGATAGCGTGCTATTACTATTTAGGTGAAGATAAAATGTGAGCATCTGTGTCAGTGCGATAGGTTTTCAACCACATGCTGATACTGATGTGTGTTATCATTATTAATACTACTGTTCTCAGGTAATTTCTAGGTGTATATAACCTGAACACTTCATTTTAGGTTTATAGTGATGGTAACTCGAAGGGTAATACTTCAAATCATGTTGTGGCTCAAGGTTTCCTTTTCCTTAGAAGCTCTATCCGTTACCTTTACGTGTCGTAGGCTTTTTCACGAACTTGACTGATTCAGTATCAAGTACAACAGCTTTACCAGAATTAACCGAGTTGTAGGGAGGAGCCTAGTGTGTGCGTGTACACACGAAGTGACTTCAGTAGAATACTACGGTGGTGAGTTGTTATTATAATGGAAATCTTGAAATGAATTCTTCCTAAGAGTACATTTTCGTAGCAGTATAGTACAACTTTTGCTCACAAATCTACGCTTTCGACTTTCATCCACCGGGTCCCAAGTCTGAACCCCCGCTCTATCGATCAGAGTGTAGGTGGCCAATTAGTATTGCTAACCTTCACATGATAGATATGAATTTTTGCTTAGTGCACGAACTTGTATGTAGTTTTTGAATTATGTTATGTTCATTATAGCCAGTTTGCTTAGCCTTTGGAGGTTTTTAAAACTGTTGTCTTGTTTTCGTTCTGCAACAGCAATATCAGAATCTGTATGCACTAATTGTCACCAGAAATGTCAAACCCCCAAGCTATTTGGTTCATAGTGCAAACTACTTTTCGAGTTTCATTTGTATATTGCAATACTTTTACTTTTGTTGATTTTGTATAACAGAATTTGCAAGTGAGCGACTTGGTGCATGTTCAAGCTTTCTAGAAACTGTTTTCGATTGCCTGCTCAAACTTCCTGATCGTTTACCTGCAACAAAGAGGTTTGATATACTTGTCTTGGTGCTTTGTCTACTGGTGAATATGTGTGAACACTGTCCAGAAAATCGTACTCGAATTGTTTATCTGGATATTACAAAATCATGTGTCAAACAAAATTCTCCATTGAATCAGACAAGCGGTAAATACATAGACACATATGATGATGAAGAGGGAGAGGAAGAGGAAGAGACAGATTCACGAAATATTATAACTACATCGGCTCTTGATGAACTGATACAGGTGAGACTCTTTATATCCTATGTGTTAGAAGAATATTTCCCCATTGTATTATATAGCCTCAGTCAGTATTTCTAAAAGTATTCAGCAAAAATTCAGCGACCATCTCAAGTTGATTTCTTACTCTTGTGTGACATGCTAACTTTTGCGTATATGAACAAACTATACAGTATAAAGTAGAATGTTTCCTTTATGTTGATAATTAGTTTCGTGCCTATCTTATTGACCGCGTCAAGTTGTGTTCCCAGGGGATATGAATAGGGGTGAAAATAAAAACATAGATAGAACATGACATAAAAAAGAATAGTTGGGTCTTTAACCACCTTATTCCCAACCCTCTTTTTTGATCTCCAAATCAAATCGTCAATATGATTGATTAGAAGAGTTATTGACATAACTAGTTTATGTCATGTTTTAACCTGCTTACTTTGAATATAATTCAGTGCCTGATTCTTATGGACTCAGGATTATGTATATATGGAATAATTTTTGATAGTGGTATCCATATCAATAAACTGGAAAAGATCACAAGTTTTTGATCACTGAAGTATTGACCATATGCTTTGAACAACGAAGTGCTTAAGTTAGGTAAAAGGTTTGATTTGCACCTGAGTGAATTGAGTGTCCAGTCTACTTTGCCGCATACTGTGAAGGACTCTTTCATGTTGTTGCAGTAATAGACTAGAAGAAATCTCGGAGAGTTATGAATAAGATGCAATACTTGTAACTATTATGATGTTGATTGTTATTTCAGTTTCATGAAGAAACGTCGATTTCCATGAGTAGTCCTCTATGTTAGCATTATTATTATTATTGTCGGTATTGTTTTTCTGTTGTTGGTTTTTCCCTTTCACGTTTATGACACATTTTTTCCTCTGTATTTTGAAGAGTTACAACCAAAGCTGCAGACTTTCTTATATAGATAATTGACCATCTTATATGTAATGTTGGTTGAAGGTATTGTTGTTAAACCTCAAAAGGTTTCAAGTACAATTTAGCTTTCCAGTTGATGCACTATCGAATGTGGTGGTGGTGTTAACAAGATATTTAAAGCTAAACTGACTCATATTCAGGTGAACTAATCCAGATAGAGAAGTTAAGCTCCTTTGTTGTACTTCACAAAAACCTTGATAAGTCGATCACTTTACTTACGTTGTGAGTTGCTACAGTTCCAAAGAGTTAATTGCTGACTAAAACTCAGCTGGGATACAGAAAGCCTGTTTGGCATTTGCCAACTTCCGTCACCTGTGACTACCTAATTCAGGATGGGTTTACTTCTCTGCAGTCTGTTCTCTTCTGTTATACAGCTGTGAGACATGGCCGTTAAAAGCAAACGATATGAAGCGGTTACGGGGTATAGATCACAGATGTCTTTGTAGCATTGCTCACATTTGGTGGAATCACCCTACGAGCAATGCTGAAGTCAAGAGAATGATACTAAGCGAGACAGGCAAATCGATTGATGAGATCGTGAACCTTAGTTGACTGACATGGCTTGCACATGTATTCCTCATACCAAGCTACCATCTACTTCAATGTCCCGTGCCATGCTAGGGGAAGGAAGATGAATTAGATTGGAAGTGTTCAGGGTGACTAGACCAAGACCTGGCACTAGTCGATGAATTCCCTGACTGTTGGTCTCAGCCGTATGGGCAAATGCAGATGATAAGAATCAGTGGTTGAGGACACTTGGTGATGGCTGTAAATTGGTCAAGATGGTGCAAATGTACTCTCTTCTTGATATTTTTTGAAGCTTGAATATTTACACTAGGCGTTATCTTCGAATGGTTTATTCTTTCACACAACATTTTGTACTTTGAAATCATTCTTATTCTATCCTCCTGTGCTACTGTGTAGTGGGGTAATTTGAAGCTTTGCACTTGTGTGCGAGGTTCTACGTCAATTTTGTTAGTCAGTCATTGAACTAGAACTTCAACTTTACACTTAGTAAATGAAAGCGAGGATATATACGTAATTAAAACTTTTTAGTCACAGCGTTAGCTATGCAGCTGACTAACAGTTTTTTTTCTCATCAGACTAGAAGTCTACATCATTCCATATCTTATACTGATGCTTTGTGTAGTTTAGCTGTTGCCTTGTTCGTTGCGTCGAAACAGTTAGTAAATATTGAGTGTCCGTAGCATATCTCAGTCATGCCCCCAACCAGTGGAGGTCCACTGCTCTGCACTGATAGTAATCACGTTTAACCTAACTGCTGTCTCTCATTGAATAAGTTGTTTGGATTTTAACAAACAAGCCAAACATACAATGGTCAGTCCATCGGTACAGGGGACTACGTATTATCATCATTATTATTACTGTTATTATTATTCGTTCCTTGCATTTGTTTTATTTGTTTTTATTGTTATCTTCTTTCAACAGCTATTCCTTACACGTGAAGAATGCGCACGTAATCACGATTTTGAACGAGATGATGATGAGGCTGTGGCAGCAGCAGCTCGTCGACGTTCAGAAGAGGAATCAAAAGATTACTGTGGAGATTCTCAGCTAGTGCGTCCCGGTCGCCCTAATCCAACTGTTGAAGAAGCTGGCTTAAAGTGGCGATTAATAGAGGATCGAAGAGCAATGGGTCTGTACAACAGAGGCTGTTTAGGTAATTTAAACGCTTTCGCTGTATTTATTATAACACGATACTCCTGTAGACTATGTATGAAGATGTGGTTCATTGGCTTTTGTATAGGTTCTGGGTTAAAGTTTTCTTCCACCCTATGTAATCGGATGTTATCACAATAAACTCCGTCACACCTTAGTATTTAACTATTTATCGATTTGAATCAGATTACTATTTATCAGGTTGTGTGCATAATGAAACATTCCAATTCACACATTGACACTGGTTACGTCATTAGGATCTTATCGCAGAACTTCTCAAAGTCCATTAATCTATGTTGCATGGGTGGTGGTTACCTTATTCCCAACCAGCGTAACTAAATACATTATCATATTACTGACTTAATCAATAGTGTAAATGACAAAGAGGTCGGTATCTTGTGTAGTTTTGTATTTCTTTCAGTAGTGAATTCACCATCTAGATCACTCACTTGTATGTAGCAAAATTATTATACCATGGTATAATGAAAGAAGTTTCCTGCATCGTTTACAAATATCTTTTTTCGAAAATGTACTTCTTCAAGTCGATTGATAAGCTTGTAGATCTTCATTGGCTGAGGTGGTTTAGACCTCTTCACTTACTTTGGAAGTTGCATTAGCCAAAACGGGCTGGTTGATGCCGAAATGTCAACTCAGTTACAGAAGACCTGTTTGCCACTTGCCTACTTGCATCACATGTGACGCCAACTAGCTATCAAAGGACAAGCATATTGTGCTGCAGTTCGTTCTATCTTGTTATGCGGCTAAGACATAGCCGTTAAAAGTAGAAGAGATGAAGTGATTACTGCGTTTTGATCACAGATGTCCTCGTAGCATCGGCTGCGCTTGGTGGAATCACCCTGTGAGCAATGGTGAGGTCAGATAAAGGGTACTGCGTCAGACAGGCAAGTTGGTTGATCAGATTGTGAACCGTAGTCGACTGAAATGACTTCAACATGTACTGCACATGCCGAGCCACTTTCTACCTCTATGTGCTATGCTAAGGGAAGCTAAATTAGGTTGGAAGAGCGTTCAGGGTGACCAGACAAACTGACAGACTGACTAAATCAATGTAAAATCACACACGCAGGTGTATTCATTCTCTGATTGACATCTTCCAAAGCTTGAATATTTGCACTGACCTTTAGCTTCAAATAGTTTATTCTTCCATAAAACTTTGTATATACTACTGTGAAATGTGATAACTTGAACCAATGTACCTGTATGCGTGGTTCTACGTTGATTTTGTCAGTCAGTCAATCAATCAGATGAACAATATTGCCTTGTTTATGATCAAGGTGGAAATAAGGAATTTAAAAGCATTTTATTTAACTAACCCCCCCTCATAAACCACTGTATTGGCGAAGTATACAAAAAATGTCTTATGGTGGATTAATTGTATTCCTAATTATTAACATATGGCATTATTTATACTATTCTCAATTACGTCCTAAATATTCAGCTGCAGAAATGCTAAGTGATATATTATGCTTCGTTTCACCTCAAAGATAAATGTGGCATTTAAACCAACAAATTCGCTTGGAAACAAGCTTTGTAGGGTTAAAAGATCCTATTGATCCAATTCAGTAAAATAATCTAGTTTACCTTATCCCTTGCAATGATTGCGAGGTCAAAGTAGTCAACTAGGATCGATTAGAATAACACAGTACAAACACTTAGCTAAGATGCTAATAAGATAAGAAATTTAGAGATGTGCTCGCCTATTACTCTGCACGCAATTACACACAATTATACAGTAGGGTGGGATAGAACGACAGCGTTAACAACTAAGTTGGCTAGAGGGAGAGATTAATAACCCTTGTCATCACAAGGAAGGAGAGAGAATTAGGACTATATAGACTTTGTCTCAAAGTTGCGGAGTTAGTTACTTGATATCAATATGGACAAATTGTGTCCGAAACGTTATCCAGTAAATGATACTGTTTCACTGTGTGATATTTCTAATAAAAAGACTAAAATAAAATTACAATCGAGCACAGCGCCCCAAGCTTTAGTTTTATATTCACTCTATTTACTTCCAACTTATTTTCTTTAGGAAGGAATCGAAGACGAAGGTGTCATAAGCAAAAATCCAAGAAAGGTATTATCATTGAAAGGCAGCAAAATCTTAGTGATGTCGATGAAGAAGATGAGGAGGATTCCGATGAGCTTGATGATATCGATAACAATGATGAAGAGGAAGATGAATTGGATGATGGTGATGAAGGAGAGGAGGATGATGAGGATGACGATGAAAGTGTCGGTAGTGGTGCAGATGTGGAATTTGTAGCAGATACACAAGAAGAACAAGAAAAGTTGGCCAAAAGTATGTCTCAGGCTCAACAACATATGGAAGACTCCGCTGTTGCTGCTTATGCCGGTAAGCTTAATAGACCTTGTGTTTTTTCAAGTAATGTAATTGTAATCTGTGTTTCACTAATTAGGAATGGTTTTAAGTGCGAAAAGACTCATTCCAGTCAGTTCTGACCACGATGAAGAGCGAAACAAGCACAAATGTGAAATAACTAAGAGTCTTCGGAACAGTCGTGAGCAGTGCTGGATGGCGTAAGTGAAAGACCATCGCCAAAAAGATCAGTCCAATGACAGATGGCTAGAGTGTTTGGCCGGACGCTTTGAAGCACATCTCAACTGGCGCATAGCAACACTTCACTTACCCAGCATCCATTCCGAAGCTGAATGAGGCGTAGATGTTTATTGTTTCGACTTTTTTCTAGCTTAAGGAGATTCCTTCAAACCTAAAACAATTGAGGAAAACCACCAAAGGTTTTTACGGATGGACGTAGAAAATTACTGAGTAGGGGTAGTGTGTGAGGTAGTCCCATTAGACTGGTCTAGATCATTGATTCCTCCAGTGTACAAGAGGGGAGGAGACTTTCCTTGTGGCAACTGTATACATATCAGTTTAATGAACATCGTATCCAAGATCCTAGAATAAGCTAACTGAAACTCGATAAAACCGAGCAAGTTTCAGAGCTAAATGGAAGTGTATCGATCACATCTCCATTTTTCAAAAGATTTTGGGGAAAAAACACATCAGAGTCCAACAGTTGCCATTTTTCATAGTCTGAAGATTCCATCTTCACTCACCCTACTTTAGATAGATATATTTCCTCTGATACACTTCTTATTACCCTCATTTGTTCTCATTTTCCTACCTACTTCTTTGAATCCTACTGTTTAATGTGGTATATTAAACCGATGCACATTTTTGTCAGGTTCTACATTGATTGATCTCTCTGGTTGTAAGTGAACTATCTATTCCATTTTAGTTGATTTATTAAATGCACCATACAGTGGAACAGTGTTATTTATTAGATTACGTTTCGGACAATTAATTCTCCATACTGTCTTACGAAGATAACCACACACCTTTGAGACAGGGTTTATGTGGTTCTAGTGCTTTCGCCTCCTTTGTGATATGGGCAGAAGGATTTTCTACATATCCGGAACAGGTGCTGAGTCATTCCTCTTACATTTATCTGATGTTTATTCGATAACCAAAGATCGATCTATCAATCTCTCCCTTCGCCGTGCTATGTTAATTTTTAAGAGTTTCCACCCTGTCCCATCCTTATTGTATGGTTGTATGTTATTGTATACATAGCTATAGCCGAGTTTTTTTTTCTAAATTGCCTTATCTTACTAGGAGGATCTAAAGATTTCGACTAGGTCTTTGCGCTTGGATGAGCTAATTGACTCTGTTCAACTATTTTAACATTGTAATCGTTACAAGGCGTTCGGTAAATTAAAAATTATTCTACCTGATTGGATCAATAGGATCTTTTAACCTAGAAAGCTTATTTCTGAATAAGTTTTTCGGTTTAAATACCACTTTGATCCCAGTTAACGTTATTCAAAACCCTGTTTAATGTCCATCAGGTGCATTCCTTGTTTCATAATACCGTATTACCACTATTATTATTAACATTATTATTACTACTTTCAACACATGTGTAAGTCATATTTTCCCTACAATTCTTAAGGAAATTATCAATTAATTTAGGAGGGTAATTATTGATGAGTAAGTTGTCTTTATTGCATCTGGTTTCTTGTCTCAGATCTTCTGACCTTATCACTTAGAAACTTTACCAAGCCATCTTTAACTGACATAGGATTAGACGATGTGAAGTCTAGATAGCGATTTGAGTGTAAAGATTTTTGTAGACACAAGTGTCTAAGCTCCGATTTTGTTTCCGTTTTATTCTGCAATCCAACATTGCTAATCCCTTTTCACTATTTTATAATTCATGGGGGAATTGAAATGTGCTGACTACCTAAGTGTCAAGAAGCTATTGGTGTGGTCCAATTTCAACACTGTGATAGGGTGAAAATCCTTAGCCTGGTGGGGGGGGGGGTAGATTTGTAAGTCGATCTTTGTTTATCGAATCAACACTAAATGCATGCAAGAGGAATGACTAAACACCTGTTCCGGATATGTGGAAAATCTTACTACCCATATCATAAAGGAGGCGAAAGCATTAAAACCATATAAAGTTGTGTAGTTATCTTGGTATGACAATAAGGTCAAAAAAAACTGTGTCCGAAAAGTAATCCAGTAAATGATACTGTTCCACTGTATAGTGCATCTAAAAAATCAGCGAAGATGAAACTACATTCTCTACCACAGTGGTCAACTTTTATGCTTATATTGATGGACTGTCCATATTTTCGCCATTTTAGAATCTAAGTGTCGCCTAATTTTATTACATTTCTATTGAAAACGAAAACGCAATGAACTCCTAGCAACCTTGTGTACCTTTGTGGAGTAGACAATAACCTACACACCTATTGCATGAAGTCTAGAGATACTTACCTAGTTGCCCTAGCCTCGATTGTTGGGACTGGGGTCGAACCTGTGAACCATCTCCCTAGACCAATGACCCACAGCTCTGTATTGATTATTCTACTATTTAGATTAATTAATTTACTCTAGTACTATGGAACCGTAATCAAATTAGCTATATTATTATTTTTTGTTTTCTCAGCTCTACTACTCGGTTGTATCCTTCAGTCAAGTCCTCGTTATACAGATCGTATCAGGTCGAAACTCCCAAATGGTCAATTTCGTCCACTGGCAATTATGTTAGCCAAACTTCTCAGCTTCTTGTCATTAACTAAAGGTGTAGGCTCATCTGGATCTGAGTCAATACTGCGCATTGTTCGAATATTAGAAGCTCAGGACAAATAATGAACTGGATATGAAAGTACCATCATTGAATGGCTCTCGATAAATGTGAATGCAATGCTGTTATTGTTGGATTTTTGTTTTATTTTGTTTAGAATTTGTGTTCTCTTGTTTCATATTTTTTTATATGATATTCACTTTATATATGTACCTACTGGTCGGAGGGGTGGGGGTGTGAATTGGTGGAATATGTGTATTTATGGTGCCTACCACCCACCTACCCATATGACTGAAAGATTAATTAATTGCACATAGTTTGTTTCTTGTTTGTGTGTGTGTGTGTGTGTTGCCCCTCTTGTCTCATGTTCTCTTTCTGCGCTACACTATCCACACTTGTATGTGTATGTATACTTTCTATCTCTCAGTAGTATTGAAAGAAGCAAATGGAAAATTAACCACATTATTATTACTATTACTATTGTTTCCCTTTGAATATAATGGAAAATACTTTTTTTTGTACAAATGTAGATGAGATGAAAAACATTTCATTTCTTCCAACCCACTCTAACCAGAATATCTCAAGTGTGTCTGTGTTTCCCCAGGAGAATTGCCCCTTGAAATTTTCCTTCAATCCCCCCCCTGCCCCCTATCAATAATCTGATAGATCTGTTCAGATTGTGTTGTACATAGTTAGTAGTTAGTTCATTGTTATGATCCCATGAGTTTCCTTATCTCCATACTCCTATTCAACTAAGATTTATTTATCGTTCACTCGAGAAAGAAAACAGCACTACACTCTTACTTGATTTGTGTTCTCTAGCCTTTCTTTATACATGTAACTGATGTGGTCTTCTTCTCTCTTGACTATGAATTAGCCGGTCAGCAAGAGTTAATGCTCATTATGACGATGAGGGTGTATAAATGGATTTCTCTTAACTATCGTTTCCTCTCCTGTTCATCTCCTTCTTTGTTTCTTAGATAATTTTAACACTTTCAATAGTTACGTTTTGTCGTAGTGTGTCGCGTAGAGTGCGTTCCTTCCTTCGCCCGTGTACACACCTACCCACTATAAAAAGAGAAGTTACGGTTATAGTTACTTCCATTTTCTTTTATTTCAGTTCTAATTTCAATCCTCCATGTCTTTATTGCTACTGTTATTTTTAGTTGTTTTTTTTTAACAAACAAAAAAAAATTTTCACCGCTCTGCACTGTTCATCTTTTGTAAATTTACTGATTTGTTCGAGTTATTGGCATATTAAAATATATACAAGTATTTTAATGAGTTTTTTTTAGCACTAAAAATCGATCATCACTCTCTAGATTTGCCAAATCCATGACATGTTAATCAGGTTTTTGTGCATGAATGGAAATCAACATAGAACCTTGCACACAAGTGCATCACTTCAAGTGGCCACACTTCATAATAGTATACAAAGAACAGATGAATAGAAAATGACTGATATCAAAGTAAACAAAGTTGTGTGAAGTAATAAACAATTTTAAGATAAAAAAACAACCGTTAGTGTGAATATTCAAGTTTAAGAAGGAGTGATTGTGACCAATTTCCAGCTGTCATCAAGAGTCAGTCTTCAACCACTGATTCCCATCATGTCTCGGAGACCCCAGGCCAGCAGTCAGATGCCAGGTCTTGGTGTAGCCACTCTGAACCCTCTTCCAACCTAATGCAACTCCCCATCGAGGTGGGCGATAACTTAGCATGTGCAAACCATGTCAGTCGTCTTAGGTTCACAATCTGATCAATCTACTTGTCTGTTATGCGTAGTACCCTTCTATCAACGGCCATATTGCAAAGTCCTATATCAGGAGAGAACGAACTGCAGTGCAATATACTCCTTGTTTGATAGGTAATTGGATGTTTCTCCAGTTGGCGTCACGTGTGCTGGAAGTTGACAAATACCAAACGGACCTTCTGTATCCGAGCTGAGATTTGGTCTACAACCACTCTGTTCGAACTGATGCAGCTCCTTAAGCAAACGAAGTGGTAGACACATTTCATCACCACCTTACTATCAGCTATTGTGCTAAAGCTATTCAGTGTCTGGTTGTAGACCATCCGTAGTCCTGCATAGTCTGATGCACAAACTTGTAAGCGACTAGTGAACTGCACTGATAAAATACACTAGAGATAAACGATTATAAACTGAAACAAATTTATCACAGTGATGTATGTTAAGTCCATCGAAAAGATATAATTGTTTTTTTAGCTCATTGAATGCATAGGTACACTGAAAAATGTTTGTTCATGTGAACCTTGGTTTTAAACAAGAGGAGTATCATTCCCTTTAATTTTGCGGACACTACAACTTAGTTTCATATGCCATAGAGTTCCGCACCTGATATATTGTTCTTCACCCTTTCGCTGGTCATCAGGACCACTTTTTTAAACTTCTGAATGTTGCTATGAAATAAGCTTTACCCATGTTTTAAATCAAATCGAGTCAGATTTCAGGTTAGTTGATGATTTATTGGAAAGTGTAAGGAAGGGTCGCCTTTACAAAAATACTTGATGTGTCCTTCCTTTTAGACGCTATGTTCACGTGGTTTTACAATCTTAATAATAGTGAACATAAGTTTTACACTTGCAAAATTAATGGATAAGTCTAAGATTTCCTTATCTCACAGTATGATCAAATTGAAAATAGTTACATTTGCCAATCGCTAGGAGTTGTTACATCTCACCCACAACATCCACTGTCTGTTCTTCCAAAAGAGGTCATTTTCACAAATAGTTCATGGCCTACTACTTTCAAAACGTTGACCAGAGGTTCATGGTTGAGTAGCAAAAACCTTCGTGGAGAAGTGTAGGTTTCAAGCATCTGACTTTGCTTAAAAGAGTTGAATCCGTGGTTTGTTCAATCAGGCACTCTACACTTAGCTTGCAGGTTTCAACTCTGGTCTATCTAGCCTGAGGGCTTAGAGCAGCTACAGTATATCATCAGTCTCTCACAATGTTGTCTAGTACTTGGTCTTCAATTTGCATTGTTATTAAACCATTTATTTGGAAAAAGTGACGGATTGAGGTTATAGGGTCAGCTGAGCGTTAGCAAAGCATGTTTTGACAGAATCATATACTCAAGAAGGCCAACTTTGTGCATAGAAAATCACTGTTTGTATACTCTATCAGTTCCATCAACAATCGCTAACTGTTTTGTGTACAAGTTATCCAACCTCTTGTAACTTACATTATCTGTTCATTTGACTCGATCATCGTAGATGTTGAGCAGAACTAGATATGTGGTTAATTGGTGGGAGATATTTTAATGACAGACTTATAGAAGTTAGGACTATAGATCTTCACAATACTAACCCAGTGCTCTATTAGACCTATGTGTAAACTCGTTTCGTCATATTCAGTGAGTAAACAGTTAATAAACTGTAAATATTTCATTTATACAAGAAATCTCACTAGTCATTAAGTTATGATCTTGAAAAAGGTTTTCATAGCATACACCAACAAATATGCAGAAGGAAGTGGAGATGGATTGGATTGGGCATACACTGAGAAGGCCAACTAGGGACACCACGCTCCAGGCCCTCCAGTGGAACACAGATGGGAAGGAGGAGATCGTGCGAGGAAGAAATGAGAGCTTATGGGCTGTCGTGGAGTCAGGTTGAAAAGATTTCAGAGAACAGAGTGCACTGGAGACGTGGTACTGAGGCCTTTGTTCCATTAGGAACCCAAGGGACAAATAATAATAATAGCATACGCCAATGAATACATTGTGTAATTACTGTTTAGATATATCATAGACATGAGTCTGCAGAAATGTTTAAATATGGCACCATCATCCGTAGTTACAAGCACGTTTTCTGTTCTAGCATCCAGGTTGAAGACTCACACACACCGATCATGTTTTATTATGGTTTCATTTATTGACATAAACTTCGATTTGTTCTCATTTTCTTTTTTAAGTACATGGTAACTAATCCAGTTTGCACAAACCAGTCAGTAAATAGCTGTCTCTCTTGGAGATTCACTGATTTCTCCGCTAGAAATCAATTTTAAGTTAAATTGCTAACATTTTTACTTTCAATACTTGTAATTTCCTGTTGCTATACAGGGCTGAATTGCTTAACCTTTGTTGACAGTTGGACTCCTATGCGGATGCCTCGATCCCGTCAAATATTCATGATGTTATATTCATCTTAGTGACTAACAGTGGAATCCTGGATGTGCATTTCTTCCTATTTGGGACTCATCAGTCGGATGTACGTGCACCCCAGTGAGTGATGTTGTTCCTACTGAGGAGACTGGAACCCAGCACTCATTGCTTCAAACACCAAAGTGTTTTCCACTACGACACAGGAACCACCACTTTTGAAACGAGAATCATTTGTTGTTATTTGATACTTGTAATTCCCCTTTGTTATATAGGATGGGACTGCTAAACATCTGTTACCATTTTACTGATATACTCAATAGTCTATGTTCTAATGGCATCACGTAAAAGCCAATGTATAGTGTGGGAATTTTGTCTATAATTGTCATCATTTGTGTTGCTGACAAATTCATTGTTTCTCCTATGATATTTTTATGAGCTGCTCAGAGTTCATAAGCCTACTAGATTTCAGTTTTGTAGGAATCCAGTATCATCATTTGTGCTGTGTTCCAAACTTCACCGTCGCACTTTTCAAAATGATCATATCGACGTCATTTTATACATCACTACGATTCTCTAACCTAATTGTGTTTTTTTCTCCATAGAACACGCCTATTTTAGCGTTGTTCTATCCACTATGCCTCCTTTTTTCTTCGGATGCATTTCTTTCTGAAAGGTTTTTTTCAAAGATTTAACTGTTGGTGTTCCGTCATCAATCTAGATAGCCTAAGTACATACCTTTCAAGTCAATGTTGATGGATTTATTTAGCCTTGTGATGAAATGTCTACTGTCAAAACTCAGAAGACGACAATAAGTGGTTGCTTTTTCTTTGACTTCAGCGGTAGATTCTGACTTGAACTGGTTAGTGTAGGGGAATGAAAACTCCCTAGTTTTGGTCCTAATGACAGCCGAGACCCGTGCCTAGAAAGTCCAGGTGATAT